AGACCTTCAAATGTCCAATGAACGGTGCACGATCGTAGGATTTAATATCGGTCGTCCATTCAACCACTCTCTATTCGCCCCTGATCTCACGCCTATTTACGAGCTATGCCACTCTAGAAAATCTATAAATAGAGCCCTCATTCCTCACAAAGAGGGATCCAAGGAAGAAGATAATGAAGAGAAGGAAGAAGCTCCTCCTCGACCACCGCCGAAACGTCGCCAGACCACCCCAGGAGCCTCGCCGGACCACCGTCGGAGCCTCGTCGGTGTTGACCTCCTTTTCGGCATCAGTCACTTACACAGTCTTGTTTTGCATTTTGTAGATTAATCTACCTTCCTTTATGTTGCATCGTTGTGTTGATGAAGGGTCACCTTGCATATGTTGTCTCGGCTTGTCATCGACCTTAAGATTTATCCCTTTTTTTTACCACATGTTACCCTATCTGATTCTAAAAAAAAATATGTGATCGGGTCGATGACAATTCGATGTGATTTCATGCATTTGAGCCTTTATCATTATCTTTGCTCCGTACTTAGTATCTTTTGATTGAGATCTCGTTTTACGAAGACCACCGCCGAAACGTCGCCAGACCACCCCAGGAGCCTCGCCGGACCACCGTCGGAGCCTCGTCGGACCACCGTCGGAGCCTTGCCGGACCACCGCTGGAGCCTCGTCGGACCACCGCCGGAGCCTCGTCCGAGCCTCGCCGCACCACCATCTCAAAACCCGACGTTCAAGCCCGACGTTCTACTGAAGGACCGACATTCAGGCCCGACGTTCTGCTGAAGGCCAAACGTTCTGCTCAAGGCCCGACGTTCAGGCCTGACGTCTTCATCTACGGCCTTCACCTTCGCCAGAGGCCCTTGTCTTTGCCAGATTATCATTAAAGGACATGTGCTCCACCAGAACATCACATGAGGCCCAGACTCCCGCCGGACCACTACTTAAGGCCTTGAGCTCCACCAGGCCACCACCTGTTGCCCATAGTTCTCCCAGAATACTGCCGACTACGGTCCTTTCGACCTCCGTTGCCTACTGTGGTCCTTCCGACCTCCATCAATAAACAACGGTCTTTCTGATCAGGTCTCCTGCCGACTACGATCCTTTCGACCTCCGTCGCCTACTGTGGTCCTTCCGACCTCCATCATCAGACAATAGTCTTTCTGACCCGGTCTCCTGCCGACTACGGTCCTTTCTAGCTCCATCGCCTACTGCGGTCCGTCCGACCTCCATCACCAGACAACGGTCTTTCTGACCCCGGTCTCCTGCCAAATATGGTCCACCCGACCTCCATCGCCTACTGTGGTCCTTCCGACCTCCATCAATAAACAACGGTCTTTCTGACCAGGTCTCCTGCCGACTACGATCCTTTCGACCTCCGTCGCCTACTATGGTCCGTCCGACCTCCATCAACAGACAACAGTCTTTCTGACCTCGGTCTCCTGCCGACTATGGTCCTTCCGACCTTCGTCGCCTACTATGGTCCGTCCGACCTCCATCAACAGACAACGGTCTTTTTCACCTCGATCTCCTGCCGACTACGGTCCTTCCGACCACCGTCTCCTACTATGGTCCGTCCGACCTCCATCAACAGACAAAGGTCTTTCTTACCCCGGTCTCCTACCGACTACTGTCCTTCCGACCTCCGTCGCCTACTATGGTCCTTCCGACCTCCATTAACTAATAACGTTCTTTCTAACCTCGGTCTCCTGCCGACTACAGTCCTTCCGACCAAACAAACATGTATATGTAACTCCTACCATGTAATGCAATATATATGATGTATATTTGCTACATCAATCCAATGCCTTCTCCAAAGGAAGGTCCTCATTTGTAATCGACTGTAAATATTAGTGGATTCATTCAAACTGGGCCAGGCCCTGTGGTTTTTTCCCCTTTTCAGGGGTTTTCCACATAAAAACTCTGGTGTCTCTTATAAATGTTTCATCCCCTCTCGTATCTTCTTGTGTGTTGGATCTTCGTATAATGCTAAGACGTTAAACCATATATTTCTCTACCGCTGCGAATATTCCAGGACGCAACAAATATATTAAAATAAGTTTCAACCGAAATGTTAATAAAAATTTTAAATTTTAAATTTAAATAAATTTTCATTCTATGTTTCTCTCTCTCTCCTTCTCCATCCATCTCTCTCTACTTTTCTCTCCCTCTCTCTTTCCATCCTCTAAAAACCTAAAAGAAAAAAACTTAAAAATTTCAGATGGAATTTAAAATATTAAAAAATTGAGTTTTAACAGAAAACGCAATTACTGTTCATGTTTTCTGTTAAAACGCAATTTTTTTTTTTGCGTTTTCTATCAAAACGTGATTTTGCAGTGCGTTTTTGCTCCTTTCTAAATTAAAATTATATTATGCTCCTTCTCTTCATTCTTTTTTTAAACTTGATCCTTTTAAAAATTTGCCCCAGCAGAGAATGATATTTTTTGTGAGACATTTAGGCCTATCACAAATTTTGCATCTCTTAATTTATAGTTAGGGGTTTTTACATACCTAACACTTAAAACTATTCTATTTACTTATCTAACACCTAAACTTCACTATTTACTATTATACCATCTAAAAGCCTTTGCCCTCATCAAAATTACCACTCCGTAACCTCCTGTCACATATCTCACCCCGACCCTGTTTTTCCAAAACGCCTGCATCGCTTCCATGGCATCTTCTAGTGGATGAATTCTCTCGTCTGCTTTATTCTCGTGTTCCTTTCCGCCACACTCGCAGGTTACTGACGACCGCAAGCTCATTGGTGAGATCTCCCCTTCCACCCTCACCGGCTTCGACGAGTTCCCCCTCATCGTTCTCTCCGCCGTCGATTTCATGGCCTACATTGACTGGTGCACCTCACCACCTGACACCGCAGTTTGGGCCTTGAAATCATTATTAAAGAAGAAGGGGATGCATGAGATGGTTGAGCTAATGGATGTTGTTTCACGGCCGGTATTTTCATCCTCGACTTCGTCTTCTTTTGACGAGGAAGGGGAGATAAGGAAGTGGTCGAGGCAATTGAGGAGGTTAGGGAGCTATTCTTCGAGGATGGGTCGGAGGTTGGAGAATGCCATTGTTTGCCATCCGGGAAGCTCGTTGGTGGCCTTCATGGTGCAGGCTTTGGCGCACATAGTAGGTTATGTTTGGGTAATTGAGGAGGACTATGGCCTTGAAGGCATTGTCGTGCTTCGTGACATTCTCAAGGTTTTTAGAGACTAGTTTGCTGAGCAATTTCTTATTTCCTGATATTGAAGAACAAAGGTGGGAGAAAGGTTTTGATTTGTTTGATAAGTTGTTAGTCTCTTTCATTTAAGTTTTCTGTATGAGAGTACCTTTCTCCTTCCTAAAAAAAATGTTAGTGATTTTGTTCTACATGAATTCTGGGTTGAATTGTGCATTCACGAGCCAGTTTTCATACGATTAGAGTTCATCTGGTAGCGTGTTGAGTTTAAAATCTCCCATAAATTCTAACTGCAACCATGGAGAGGTGATGACCAATGATAATTATGAAAGAAGAGAAACCGACAAATGATCTTTTTTTTTTTAAGAGACTATCGTTATGAGCTTCAAGATTCTTTGTATTCAGCTGCTTGCGTCGTCTTCGATTCCTTTTTCTATTCGTTCAGCTTAATCTCGTTATTGCCGCCGCTCTTCATGATAGGATCCATCAGATGGCTAGAGTCGGCGGTGGCGGCTTGGAGGAATGTTTGGTCGTCCATTGGGGAATTTAGATGGTGGTATCTGCGGCGACGGGGAGTTTGAAGGAGGTGGAAGGGAATCAGAGATGGCACAACAACAGACAGGGTAAGATATGTGACGGGAGGTTACAGAGTGGTAATTTTGATGAGGGCAAAGGCTTTTAGATAGTATAATAGTAAATAGTGGAGTTTGGGTGTTAGATAAGTAAATAGAGTAGTTTTAAGTGTTAGGTATGTAAAAACCCCTTATAGTTAAAGCTTTCCATTAAAATAGCTGCATAAATAATGATATTTTGCAATATACAATTCACATAATATAGTAAAATACAGCTCATATTGATCTATTAGGAGCTTTAATTATCAACTAAAAGGTTTGGAGTTTGAATCTTATGTTATATGATATGTATATCAGTTTGTCTTAATCGACCTAAATGTCACTTAAAAAATAACTGGCACAACACATCTCATCTTAATATGTTGTGTCAATTTTAACTATCAATTAAGAGATCTTGGGTTTTAATTTTAAGTGCATGATATGTATGAATTTGTCACAATTGGACTAAATGTTCCCAAAAAAGATATAGTTGACACATAATTGGTTAGATTTAGGGGTGTCAACAAGTCTATTTGTATGTTGGTTTGAATTAACTTGATTTCATAAGTCGTGAGCCGAGCTAGATGTGTTAACGAAAAAGTTTAAGTAAGATAATTATGACTTAACTAATTAGCTCATAAGCTATTTTATTTATAAAAATATTAATATGAAATATATTTAAAATTCTATTTGATACGTCACCAAAAATTGTCTTGATCGGGAGCAAATCTTGATGCATATTTGTACGTATTGGAACATCAAAAATTAATTTCATGATCATAAGAACTTTGATTTCGGCAAACTTATAGTCAAACCAATAATCTCAGATAGACGGCCCCAATAAAACCAAATTCAATCCAATTCGAGCCCAAATGAGATAAAAAAAAGGATCAAAGAACTCTTGAAAGATTCAAATCATTTATTGGATGAGCATATGGTATTCAAATATGGCATTCTTATACTCAAATCGAGTGGCTCGACAAGAGACGAATCCAACAAGTCCAAGATCTCTTAATTTTGACTTCTCTAGGGCATCTAAATGCTTGATAAATTCTTCATGATCATAGGGATCATTATGAGTCGTCCAATGGAGCACTCCTAACATGCCCTTGATCTTTTTCATATTTGTTAGGCATGTCACTGCCAAAAAATAATAAATAGACCTCTAATTCTTCATATGGGGGAGGAGGAAAGAAAAGGAAGAAGATAAAAGCTCAGAAGCCTAAGGAATCTTGGAGCTCCACCATAACACCACCATCAACGAATCTGTGCCACTAGGCGGCCGCTGAAGAATCTCCTTCAAACCATCGCCTTCGAACCTGTATGGCAGTTATTAAGCCTTCCTCTAACCACCATCTCCATTCTACTATGGTCCCTCCGACAACCGTAGTCCAGCTACGGTATTTCCAACCTTCATCGTTCGCAGACTAAAAACTCTCTTAACCCCGTCTCTCAATTACAATCCTTTCGATCTCTGTCATGAACCGACTAAGGTCTCTCCAACCACCATCGCTCGACTATATTCCTTCTAACCTCTATCGCCCGCCAACTTCGACTACAGGAAAATCGTTTATTACCGACGATAATTTTCGACGGAACATACCAAGTTTCTAGCGGAATAAACCTTATAAGAAATTGAAACTGATGATATTTCCTGGCGGTTTTCCGGCGGCTATAACAGCCGAAAATTAATGTTTCCAAAATCGCAAGAAAACATTGGTATTTGTCGGCACAATGACCGCAGGTTAACCGCCAGTGGTTACCGGTGGTAAAATTGCCGGTGTTTCCGGGAGTATAGTTTTAGGGCACTTCCCGGTGAAATTTTTGATGGTTATGACCGCTAGAAATAAGTTACTTAAAAATGGCGGCTAAACCGCCGCATAAAGACGTGATGGTAAGAGCATACCAATGGTTTGTATGGCTGTCATCCGACTGCTAAAATTTTTTTATGCTAATTCATTTGTTATTGGTGGTCTAACCTCCAGTTAAAAGCGACAGCTAGACCGTCGGCATTCAGTTAATTTCCTAAACTATGCAATCTCTCCGACCATCGTCATCCAACTATGGTCCTTCCATCCTCCGTCACCTACCGACTACGGACCCTCCGACCACCTTTGTTCGCCTATGATCCTTCCAGCCTTCGTCACTTGCCAACTATGATACTTCTAACCATCATCATCCGATAATGACCTTACCAACCAAGCAAGCAAGACAATACCTCTTGAGAGCAGTTATAATGTCATTCTTGAACTTTATAATCTACTCTATATAATATGTATTTGTTACTTTGAGCCAACACCCTCCTCCAAGGAAGGGCATTATTAGTAATTAACCAACACCACTAGTGGAATCATTTTGATTAGGCATGACCGCGTGATTTTTTTCCCTTTCTAGAGATTTACTTGTAAAAACTTTGTTGTCTCTTATGAATGGTACACCCTTCTTTCTTATTTGTTTGTGTGCTAAATTTTTGTATAAGGCTAAGCGCTAAACTTTATATTTCTATACCACCGCGAATATTTCAGGACGCAATAATATTAATATTTAGAATTTTAAGTATAAAATGTAAAAAAAAACATATTTAGAAATTATCTTATTTTTAATTTATCAAGCTCAAACTAGGAGTTACTCATATTGGACTCGATTCATTAACATCCCTAGTTAAATTTATCATCTATTAAAAAAATGAAAGATAATATATATATATATATATATGTGTGTGTGTGTGTGTGTGTGTGTTAAATAAAGAGATTAAGCTCATTTTTATTAATTTCAAACAAAAATAAATTTTGAATGAAAGAACAAGCAGAAAAGAAAATCCAAAATGCATATAAACTAAAATGTTGAAGCTCGATCATTTGTCAAAGAAAAAAATGTCATAGACAACCAGTGCAAAAAACATGAGTGCAACAACAAAATGTTAATATTACATAAATACTTAGCATTTGCCTTACTAATTAATTAGAAACCCCCTATATTACTAAACCAAAATAGTATATCATAATTAAAATTTAAAAAGGCCAAAATTTAGATCAATAATAATACGTTAATCGATAGAAAATAATGACCAAATTAACCCTGCTAAATGCTAATTTACAAATAATCATAAAAACTCACCTTCCTGAACCTAACACAATATATATATAGGCTCTTTCATGAAGTGCGGGAATTTCTTGCAGCAGGCAAGCAACCAAAGACGGAGAATAATGAGGCGCTTTCATGAAAACCTAAAAAATATAGGCGCCATGTTCTCCTGATAACAAGAAATCAAGCCACGCGGTTACAGAGTAAAGCAACAAGATCTGAATACAAGATATGTTAAGATATACGAATAATAACTCCAAGCACAAGAAAGATATCAGGCAGCAGGATCAAGATAATAGCTTTGATAAGCAGAGCTAATCTTTTTTGAAGAAATCAGTCAAAAGCTTAATCTTGTTCTTTGCCTGCTCGGTTTCGGGATTTGAGAGGTGGAAAACATGGTTTGCCTCCGGCGTCTCAACGAACTCCACCTCCCCTCGCCACCCACTCTCCTTTAGCTTCTCGTAATAAATAAGTCCTCTCTCTCTTAAGAAATCCTTCTCCGCCACGCTTACCAGAACTCGCTCGCACCCCAGAGCCGCAAGGCTCGGCGCGCCTTCGGCCACCGGGTTCCTCCTTGGGTCATCAAGCCCTTCTGTATCCGGGAAAATGAACTTCCACATCCGACCAGAGTCAGCAGATTCGGAGCCCACCGGCACAGACCCCCCAAAGTAAGGGTGGATCAAAGCCAACCCTTTGATGGCTAGCCCCTCTGCGGCCGCCCGAAGCGCGATGTGGTGGGCGATGTTGCCTCCGGCACTATCGCCAGCGACGAATACCCGCCCGAAGTCGCCGTGCTGGGCAAGCCACGGATCGGCCCGAGAGAAAACCCAGCGAAAGGCGGTCCATGAATCATCGTAGGCGGCAGGGAGGCGGTGTTCGGGAGCGAGGCGGTAGTCGACGGAGACGGCGATGAGGGGGGTTAGGGAGGAGAGGTCGTTGAGGTGCCGGTGATAGACGGGGGAGGCGGCGGACTCGATGCAGAAGCCGCCGCCGTGGATATAAAAGAGGATGGGAAGCTTACCTCCATCGTTGGCTGTGGGTGGGAGGTAGAGGCGGGCGAAGACGCCGGTTGAGGGATCGATGATGACATCCTTGGAGTCAACGCCGGTGGCAGGGTCAAGGGACGGCGGAACCTTGTCGGTGCCACCAAAGCGCTCGACGCGGCCGCTACGGTACATACGAAAGAAGGGAAAAATATCGATCTCAACTTCCTCGTTGGCGGGGATGGAGTGGGCAGCAGTGGTAACCTCCATGTTTCCTGGTGCGTGGAATTAGGAGAGATCCCTCTGGACTTCAACGTTCCTCTGCAAATCTGTTTATTCGATGTATTTATATATTATTGAAAACAAATAGTTAAATCCATTAAATGGGATTTACATATTTATATATTTAATATTTGAATTTTTTATGTTGATTTATATATCATTTTGATTTTAAAGTATATTAAAAACATATGTAAAAAAAAAGATGCTTTATTTTAAATAACTTACTATTATTGATGTTTTTGTTAAAATTTAGAGATTTGAGTATTATGTAAATAAATATAAAAAATAAATATTGGAGAGTGTTAGCTACTCAAAGTTTACTCTTTTCTTAAATTTAATATATAATGTTGTTATCTCTAATGATAATTAGAGGCACGTTAACTCCTTGGTTATTTTGAATTGGGACTATTACTTAGCTTTTCGTTACATTATTTTTCTTTCATGTATTTTTTACTTTTTTTTTTTTTACCCACACTTATAATCACATAAAAATAAATGGGCTTTGGCCCTAATTACTTAAAAATTTTATTTCTATTTTTATATCATATATGGCCCATGACCCATGTTCCTCTTATCTTTGGGGAAAAGAAACACCAACTTGGTATCGTCCATGCATAAGATAAGCTTTAAATATATAGAATTTAAATAGCAAGTACCGTGACGGACGGGAAAGAGGAATTATGAATTTTTTTTTTATTATTTTTATTAGTTTCAGTGGGAATAAAAAATAATAGAAGTGTAGATTTTTAGATAGTATAGAATAAGGGCGAAATGCTAATTAATCATCTTTGATTGAACTTAATGATGCGGAGCACTATTAGTATATGACGCCAGGGAACACCGGACCGCCAGATATGTGCACATGACTGGCTTTTTATTCCACTTACTACTTTCCACTTTTCGTTTGTTACTACAGGAGTCTGTTTTCCTTATGCTTGTCCTTTTTTAGTTAGTTATCATAGTTTCTTCCTTGCTGTTACTTATAGGGAAGAAGATAGAAGTCTAAACAGCTTTTGATAGTTTATAGCAAGTACCGTGGCGGACTGGGAAAGAGGAATTATGAATTCCTTTTATTATTATCCTACATTTATTTTACACTTAACCAAATATATTTTGAATGTATTGCATTTATTTTACAATTTACTTCTTTTAGTTTAAATTTATGTTTAGTGAATCAAACAACATCTTAATAGAAGTCTAGGGTGTCAATATTTGATCCGACTTGAAAAATTATGTGTTATGGGCAACCTGTTTGTCAGTTCGGTTGGGTACGGGTTAACCCGAAATTAACCTGGGTTGATCGGAAAACCTCCCCTGCACTCTTTATAGCGATCTCATGCTAGCATCCGGATTCCGCTCCTAGACTCGCACCGCACGCAAGCCGTGCTCTTGAGTCACGCATGCATGCATTGCTCCACAATCTGCACTGGCACTGTAGCGAGCCTATTGCACTCATGTACGAACTCCACAACCAGACCAACACCCACACCACGCGCAGGCAGCGCGTGGCACTATCCACTCGCACGACACCTGCACCCCGCACAAGCCCTGCAACACCCCACACCAACTTGTGTCCAAACCCGATGGTGTTTGTGGTCTAGTTCGTGGGTCGGGGTCAAATCAACCTGATAACCCAGTGGGTTAAGTTCGTGTCTGAATTTCTGATCTGTTACAAAAGCGAGTCGGGTTTGGGTTAACCATTTAAACCTATTTCAAGTCCTGGGTTCTACCCGAAAAACACATTTTGACACCCATTAGCTTTTCACACTCAAAATCAATAATGATTCCAAACCCGCGACCACATAGTTCGTAGGTCGCGCTAGGTGCTCACCCGACGCCTGCACCCAGTGCAGGTTAGGCTTGCACCCCAACGCTGGCTGTGCTCGCACCCCTCACGGGCCTGTTCCTTCGCCGCACCCCACACTCGCTCCTGCCCGAACTGATCGCGCTGGTTGTATTTCAGTTCGAGGGTCAGGTTGAGTCCACTCGATAACTTGGCTGGTCATATTCGACTCAACACGTTTGAACCTAGATAAATTCCATGTTAGACCCGAGCCCAAGCCAAAAACCAATTTTGACACCCCATAACTTTTCTTACTCAAAATTAATAACAATTCAACACTTGTTATTGTTATGTAACATAATAAAAGCTCTATGAAGAAAGAGAAGAACACCATTTTTTTATGATATTAATTTATGTATATCTCAAGAAATTCAAAGCAAAGCATTGGTACTCTTTATAACTCATTCTAGCGGGGCCGACATAGGTTGAATGATTGTACTCTAGGAGTGGTCATCAATGGCCATAGGGTGAAGATCCTACTATTGTTATCAAATGACAATGGTTCGATGGTGCTCCGTCATTATTAGAATCTTTTAACTCTTCTCAATTTAAACAAAGACTCTTCTTCATGTAAAGAGTTGGAGTTTATTTATAAATTTTTTTAGTGGCATGCTTCATAAATATAGCCATAATCACAAAACACATCATTGAACAGCTTATATTGATCACATAACCATATTATACCAATCATATGTACTTTTAAAAGTGCTCATATTATGTTTAGAAATTAAACGATATTTGGTTTCGATGAGGTCAATTTAGATTATTAATCATTGAAATTTTGAAATAGTTTTGATACTCAAATTAATATTTCAAAAGTTGCTAATTATATTCAAATCGTTTATTTTGGGCTAGCTCAAATTCAATAACACTCTCTCTATATCAATATGTTATGCCCAACAAAATGTTTAGTTGAGTATATAAATTTATTGAAATTTAATTACAAATTATCCTTAAATTTAATCATAAAAAAAATTTTAGTGTAAATATGCATCGAGATTTGTGATTATTCAGATTGATTCTATTGGATATTAATATAATTATTGTTATGTTATATTGTCAAACAAAAATTCATTAAAATATAATCTGAATTTAAACATTGTTTTAATGTGTCATTATCAAGCAATAATAATGAGATATTATTAATAGATTATAAATTTATTACTAATAACATAAATAATAACAAATCAATCGAATTAATTATCTCAATATAAAAATCTACATTTGAAAAAAATCTGTTGATCTTGAATCAGCTGAGCTTCTTAGCTGTTTGAAACCTGCAAGGAAAGGGTAAGAAAACACGAAGAGAAGATAGGTAGCAGGGGTGTATTTTCTTGACTGGTCTTGTACGAAACCTGTTACAAGATATATCATTCAACTCACTGAACCTAAGCCGTTTTATTAATGCAGTTGTAAAGTAGACGGGTGAAGGATTTAAAAAGGTACAAGCATAGTATGACAAGTCAGAGTAGGCCTGCAACAAACGCTAAGCAGGATAAGTATGAAAGCATATCAGTCGCTTATCATCCCCCCCAAGATGATAACTTCGGTCTCAGTAATGAGTGTAGCTTGTGTCTTTAATATCTTGAAACCTTTGGATAGCTAAAGGTTGGTAAACTATATTCTGCAGCTGATCAAGTAGGACTATATGAATGAATAGAGATATCTTTAGACTTCAACCAATCCAGAATGAAATGATAATCTATTACTCTCGATGTGTTGGTACGCGCATGGATAAATAGGATTGTTTGCTAATGCGATTGCTGAACATATTATCACAAAATAAGTTAGGGCATTGTAAAGAACTACCCAAACTCAACCAGAAGACGCCGTAACCAAACGAGTCGCAGATGCCCTGGCCAACGATCTGTACTCGGCCTCAGTAGAAAGAACGAGCAACACGTTTTCTGCTTTTGACACCTCGCCAAGAAATGAAGAATTGTGACCAAGATATGGCCAATATCCAGTGGTGATTTACGGTTCTATTGGATCTCCGCCAATGCGGAATCAGCAACAGAAGGCCTGAAAATATAATTCAGTAGGTTGAATAAGAAAGACCAAAAGCTGCTATGTGCTTTAAGAAGATCTACTCTGAGAAGCCGCTTGAGTAAGTAGAAATGTCCATTCGATAGGTTGTGCATAAATTGGCAACGAGTTATCTAACTGTAAAGGAGATATCGGGTCAACGGACAGTTAAACTATTGCAAAGGAGCTAACAAGATGTTTGTATAAATACAGATTGGTGAAATGAAAGCACAAGACCTACGACACAATAGATTTAAGACCCCCCAGCCACGCTCCTCTTAGCTAGCATCACCAAATTGAAGATCTTTTGTCAATATGCAACCCGATATTCAACACAATCAGACTCCAACTAACGACGCAAACCTGAGTCTTGAATCTATGTTTAGCCGACCGTGCGGTCGGTGCTTAACTAGTCCATGCTCCCTGTAACCGGCGGGGAGGTCTGGGCTGGGTCTCGTGGGGGTGGCTCGAGCATATTGCCCCCGGGGCGCGGGAGGGCGGTAGCGGTAGGCGGGTGTGAGTGGCCGCGGAGCTCGCTGCTCGGGAGGGGCTCGAGCCCCCGGACTGGCGTTACAGCTCGCGAGCCGAGCTTATCGAGCTCACACGTCGAGCTTCGGAGCTCGGAGTTCGAGCTCGTTCTAGTAACGACTCGGAGCTCGAGCTCGAGCCGGCTTTGGCTCGTGTAAGCCCGTGAGCCGGCTCGATATAATAGATTAATATGTTTTTTCAAAATAATATTATTTTATTTATTAAATTTTTAAATATTAAAAATAATAATAATCAAGTCACCCTAAATTTATATTAAAAGTGAATATTTCATATTTTTATAAAACTTTTTGTTTAAGCTTTTAAAATTCCTCTTAAATGTTTAAAAATCCCGCTTTTAAGTTTAAAATGTTCCCGCCTAATTTTAAAATTTTTTGAAAAATCCCGCCTAAATTTAAAATCTCCCGCACTGGCTGGCTCAGCCCGGCTCGAAGCTCGGATTTAACAGTGACACGAGCTCGAGTTCGACTCGATTGTAGAGCTCGATCTCGAGCTCGAGTCGAGTTCAGCTCTTCTTTCTAACGATTGCCGCAGCTCGATAAGGGCAAAACTGAAGCGTCGACTCGGCCGTTTTACCCCACTAATTGTATGCTGCTTTGTTTCTGCCTTATGGAAAATGGAGTGAGA